TGGCCCCTCGTGCCGGCCTGGGGCAGTGTCGTCTGGTGACCGGTCCTCACGTTCCGTGGAAGGAAGTGGGGGACAGAACGAGACGACGGACGGGGTCTGCTTTCACAGGACATCGTAAACAGAGACTCCGACGCGGGGGTTTGGAAGACCATCTTGTCCGAGGTCCGCCTGGTGCACGTGAACACCTCCGCGGTCCTGAAGGTGAGAGGGCGCCGCGTCTGGCTCGCCCGTCTGGGCGGGGGGGGCTCGTGAAATCGGTTTACAGATCCTTCGGGCTGAACGGGCTCCTAGCGGGCAGCGCATCTGGCCAAGGTCCTCGCCGTGTTTCCTGCCCACTGACAAGGGAGGACTTTATAACTTCTCACCACTGGATCCCACCGTGACGGCCCCACGGGGGAGAGGCTGTCGCCCTTGGGGGCTGCAGACAAAGTGACCGGGTGGCGGGGGCGGCGGGCCTGAGCCGGGGCCTCGAGCCTCCCAGTCACGCCCCGCCTCCCTCGGTTTTGCCAGCTGAGCGGGGCACACCTCCCGGACTGGGGGTTCCGGCAGCTGGAGGTCGTCGGGGAGAAGCTGTCGCGGGGCTACCACGAGAGCACCGTGTGGAACGTGGAGGAGCACCGCTACGGCAAAAGTGAGTCCGGCCTGGCCCGCTGGCCACCCGTCGCCGCCCCTTTACCAGGACGCCGGCCCCGCGGGCTCTGGTTCCAGCAGGGGCTGGACGCGCCGTCCACGCTGCTCCCCGCTCAGCCGAGCCGTGAGCAACCGAAGCCGTCACTCGGAAGCGTTGCCGGAAGGCAGTATGAGCTGAGCTGCGTGACTGGAAAGATCTAGATTTGGTGGGTGCCGTCCCGTTGCGGCAGGAGAGCCGAGCGGAGTGACACGGTTAGACGCAGCCGCTGTGGGCGGTCTGAGGAGGGGGAGGCCCGCTTTTCCCCACGCCGACGGCTGTGTTGCGGGCTCCCCGACCTTCCGCTCACGTTCTTCTGGGTCCGGTGTGTCTGTCAGGCCAGGAGCAGAAGGAGAGAGAAGTGGAATTGCACTCGCCCACGCAGATGGACGTTCACAGGAACCTGAGCTTCCTGGCCAGGTTCCTGGAGCTGCAGGTGACGCGGTGGGGGCGGTGGGGTGGGCGCACCCGGCCGTGCGTGGGGGAGCGGGCTCCCGGCCATACGGCACCGCGCCCCCGAGAGCGGCTCCCTCCCCGGCGTCAGCCTGGGGCCTGGCTCAGTGGGGCGGGCTCCTCTGTCTCCGGAAGTGGCCAGTGCCCCACCGTCAGCCCGGGGGGCCTGTGATGTCAGGGGCAGGAGTAGTCAGAGCCCAGCCAGCAGCGTGGTACACGCTGAGCCCCCCCCGGGTCAGGTCATCGTGTGCCACGGTCAACACGATGGGGCCCGAGAGAGGTCAGAAGCAGAAAGTCGGGGTCCCGTCTCTAAAAGCGTTCTCGGCACCAAGTTCAGTTCTCTCGTCTGCAGACAGGGTGGCTGGAGCTCTGGGGCCGCGTCTCAGGGGAAGCGGGATGCCCCCGTGACCGGGACAGGTCCCTGCGCGGTGAGGCGTCTGGCCGTCCGCCCGCCTCAAGCCTGTGGCCTTGTTGCAGTGGAGAATGCTGACGGCCAAGAGCGACGGCTCAGAGCACAAGTACAGCTCGTCGCCACTGGACTGGGTCACACTGGACACCAGCATCGCTTACTGGCTGCATCCCAGGACCAGCGTAAGTGGGTGCTCGCACTGGATGTAAGTGGGCGGCCGTCACGGTCGTCCCTCGAGACTCCCGTGGCGTTGAGAGCAGCCACCGCGTCCTACCCAGCCTGGCTTCCTCCAGGGCCTTCCGCCGCACGGAAGCCCACGATGGGCTTTTTCCCTACACAAGTCGGCAGCACAGGGTCAGTGCTCCTGCCAGGAGGGTGCTCCCTCCCTCACGTGACGAGTAAGGTCCTACGCGTCTGCACGTTGACGGGAACCAGGCTTTACTGCTCTGGGGGGAGCAACGCTGTTCCCCTTTCCTGACAAAAGCTGTATTTTCCGTGGAGCATGAGCGGCCGAGCCCGCCAGTGCTGTTTCCATGTGTATCGTCCCTCTTGTCCCAGTAGGACCAACGGCCCTGGAGCTGGCGCCCAGTCGGTCGCCAGCAGATACTCCCCAAATTTTCATGCTGAAAACGCTCACCTCTCTCGTTCCCGCCGGAGCGGGGGACGAGCCATCACTTGCCGGGAAGCAGGGTCCTTGGCCCTTTGTGGCTCTGGGTTGGCCCTTGTTAATGTAAGAGTGCCGGCCGCGCCCGGCTGGGTTTCTGCCTACCAGATCAAGGAGCTTAGCACTTTTCCAGAGGGAGACTCATTGGGAATAGGCACGTCCATCGGCAGTGGGGTCCCAGCCTGCGCCAGCGTTTGGGCTGAAGGCCGGCAGACAGGCGAGCATCATCGAGGGTTTATCCCTCTGGGCGGTCGATGGCCGACGGTGTGTCCCTGTGTGCTCACAGGCTCAGATCCACCTGCTCGGGAACGTCGTGATCTGGGCTTCGGCCAGCCTCGCCACTGTGGTCTACACTCTGCTCTTCTTCTGGTACCTGCTTAGACGCCGAAGAAAGATCTGTGACCTCCCTGAGGGTTAGTGCGGCCGGTTTCTTTCTTTTTGTCTCTTTCTCGAAAGCAAACATTAAAAAAAGAGAGCGTGGGCAGCAGAGGGGCAGGGAGAGAGGGAGACACAGAATCCGAAGCAGGCTCCAGCCTCCAAGCGCCGGGCTCGAACTCACGAGCTTGTGAGTCGCGAGATTGTGCCCTGAGCCGGTCAGACGCTTAACCGACTGAGCCCCCCAGGTGCCCCGAATGTGCAGCTTGTTTCTGACGGGCATTCACAGCACTTGCGGTGACAGCCCGGCCTCACCAGGATCCTGCACCTTAGACGATTTTCTGCATAGAAGGAACTTAAATCAATTTTTGTCTCCCTAGAGACAAAATGTTGCAGTTGACTTCCCCAGTTGTGCCAGAGGCTTCTCCGGGGAAGTGTGGGTACCAGGCAGCGCTTGCTGTGACCTCAGGACGTGACAGCCTGAGTGCCTGCACGCTCGGCATGGCTGGATGGCACAGAGTGGCCAGCAGGCGATCTCTCGGGCAGGGGTGCTTTACAGTAATAGAAACCACTGTAAACCATCTTGAGACGAAGAGCTGTAAGGACCTGGGGCAGGGCGGGGCCACAAAGGCCTCGGGAGCCGTGTGGCCCGTCTCCACTCTTCCCGCTGACTCTTGACCCAGCGGGCCGGCCGGGCGCACAAACACAGCCCCTTACGGCTCTTACGGGAGGCTGACCCACTTGGTGGTGATCCCGGACAAGCCAGGGACCGTGGGGACCAGCTGGGCCTGCCCCCCACCCACCCCGGGGGCTGGTGTGGCTCAGAGGGTCGGGATGGTGAGGACCCCGCAGGAAGCCACTGGAAAGTTCTTACGACACAGGACACAGTCCGCTCTTTCCCCAGAGGTCACGGGAAGGGTCAGGAGGTGGGGGAGGAGCGAGTGGGCACCCTGAAAGATGAGGCAGGCAGCTCCGGGGACCCACAGGGCCTTTGTGGGCGAGGCCTGAGTCAGCAGCGCTGGCTCAGGGTGACCTTCCCGCCCCAGATTCCTGGCTGCGCTGGGTGCTGGCGGGGGCTCTGTGTGCCGGCGGCTGGGCGGTGAACTACGTCCCCTTCTTCCTGATGGAGAAGACGCTCTTCCTGTACCACTACCTGCCGGCGCTCACCTTCCAGATCCTTCTGCTCCCCGTGGTCTTGCAGCACATCAGTGACCACCTGTGCAGGTGCAGGCCTTCCCCGGGGCCCCGGAGTGACGGCTTCAGTGTGGCGTGGGACGGGCTAAGGTCACAGCAGGGACGCCAGGGGAGGAAGCTGGGGCTGGCTGGGAGAGGAGGTGCGGGTGTGGGAGACGGGGAAGGACCCCCGTGGCGGGGCTGCCCGGTGCACAGAGCTACAGCAGAGAGATGTGTAAACCCGAGTTCTGGAAGCCGGACCAAAGGGCATGGACTCGGGATCCGGGGTGGTCAGGGGCCGCAGAGCCTCTCGGGAGGGCTGTGGTACGACGACGCTGGATGTGGGGACGCTACTGTGGGATCGTGGGTGTAGATGGAAGATTCGGGAAGGTGCACGAGGGTCACTTTCGGCACATCAGGCAGGGCGTGAGGAGGGTGACAGGGTCCCTCATGCCCGTGCCCTGCCCTGGTGCCCGCAGGACCCAGCTCCTGAGGAGCCTCTTCAGCGCCCTGCTTGTGGCGTGGTACTCCTGTGCCTGTCACGTGTTCAACACGCTGCGCCCGCTCACCTACGGGGACAAGTCACTCTCCCCCAGCGAACTGAAGGCCCTTCGCTGGAAGGACAGTTGGGACATTCTGATTCGCAAATACTAGCAGGACACAAACACGGTGAAGGTCTGGGCCGGGGCCGGGGCCAGGGCGAGGCAGAACTTTTATGGGGGTGTTCTTGTGACAGGGTAGCCCTAAGCCCGGCCGGCTGGCCGGGCTACTGCGGTTTCATTTTTCAAACAGTCCTCAGATAAGCAAAGTTCATTTTGAGCAACAAAGTTTCTTTGTTCCAGGCGTTAAAGAACGCGGCCTTCTGGGTCCACTAACGCCCAAGAACCTCCCGAACCAGGCTAGTGTGGGACTCACGCTGGAGGAGAAACAGGAAGGGAGCGAGGGTCGCGCCAGCCAAGGCCCCGGTCGCTCTCCCGAGCGCCCGCTGGACCTGCCCCCGGTGAGGTCTCGAGGACGCGCTCCGAACATGGTGGTGTCACACAAGCCACCGGGTGATGAGCCTCTGAAGAAGCAGAGGTGGGATTCTGGCCACTGCAGTGAGGACCCTCACTGCCGCCGACTCTCAACCCCCCGCCCCTGCAGGGTTCGGCTGAGGTGCGTGGGCGAGCGGCACCTGCAGCACGTGACGTGTATTCCAGCCCCACGGATCCGTGTCCTGAACCTGCCTTCCGTGTAGAATTAAAAAAGGGACAAATTGGTATTGGTAACTGGTGTTATTTATTGATTCTCTCTCCAGAAGGGGAGAAAATAACCTGGACAAGACTGTCACACACACCTCAGAGAGCAGCCACGGAGCTCGGCCAAGCCCAACTGAGGTCCCATCCGTGTCACTACACACAGTACTCGCTAGGAGGAAACCAGAAGTGCCCGTGCGGTTTAGCCGGTGGCAACGGCAAAGCGTCGCTTTTACAGGAACGGGGCCACTGGGGAGGGGAAGACAAAGCAGGACAACATGGAGCCCGGGCATCGTCTGTGCGGCCGCGGACTCTAGGTGTGTGCAAGGAGACGGGCTGCCTTTGGACGGTGCGCCCGACTCGGGAAGGCCTGTCCGCAGAGCACGCGGGGCCCAGGTGGCTCCTGCAAGCGGGGAGGCCTGACCCCGAGTAGGACCGTGTGTGGACACGGCGGGCGCCAGCCTGCCTCCTGTCCCAACCCGCAGGGCCGGGGACGGGGCTCGGGCCGGGGGAGCGGGGCCCGTCCCCTGCGGCCGAGGCTGGCTAACGAAAGCTTGTTCCCAGGGCTCGTTCCTCGACTCTGCCCTTGGCGCACAGGCCAGGAGGAAGGAGAGCCCTCCGTGGCTCCTACATCCGTGCGTGCCAGACCGGGTCGCACCCCACTGCGGGGCACAGTCACCAAGTCACAACTAACGGTAGAATAAATAACGAAACAAAACACTCGCACGTGTAACACGTAAAAAGGGGAAACGCTCCCTCTCCAAACCTATGTTTCGGTCACACGTTGTGTGGGAACCAGACCGTCCGGGACAAAGTCCCTCACGCTGTGGGTTCCCGTCGAACACACCGGGACAGCCACGGCGTCCAGGCGGGCTGCTCAATGCTCCCGAAATACGTGACTTGCTCGCCACACGTTCTGTGGCACGCTTCTCAGTAACTTAAAGATGGACTCGAAGCTTCCTGAACGTGAGGAAGCAGGTGAAGGCGGCAGGAGGGCCTGCCGCCATCCCGGGGGGCTGCGTGTCACAGGTGCAGGTCTGCCCACAACAGGGAGGAACCCCGTGATCCTCGCGCTCCACCCCCACCCCCCGTCTGTACCGTGAGATGCAGAGAGGAAGCAGCAGCTGCGTCCACGGGGGGGGGGGGGGGGGGGGGGAAATAGCGAACAACCGGAACGGTCTGTCGGGGTGGGAGCAGGGGGCCTGCCCGGGCGGCCGGGCACCCCGCCGCTCAGTGGGGTCTGCTGCTGGACTCCAAGTGCGATCGCTTGCCGGAGGTCAGCACCGTGGGATGGTCTCCCGGCTCGGGAAACGTCCTCTTGTAGCTCCGCCCATTGGACCCTCGGTGCCACTTGCAGATGTCGCCGCTCAGGATGTCCTGGATGTGCTGCACAATCAGGTTGATGGCCACTGTAGCAGAGACAGAGCGCACTGAGCCGCGCCCGTTCCCCCTCGAGGCCTCCAGGCCAGCGAAAAATCTGCCGCGGGCCGAGGCCCTGGGCCTGGTGGCACCGCGTCTCAGCAGACAGAAAGACGCGGGTCGGGCAGTGAGCACAGTAAAACTCGGCGGCCCGGTCTGCGGGGGTTTCTGTGAACCAAGAGCCTGGGGAGGCCGCTCTCTGTGAATGAGGGACTCCCCCGTTGATACACATCTTTTTCCAGCTTTACTGAGCTATAACTGACGACCGGCATCGGGTCAGCTTAAGGTGTACGACGTGTCAAACCCCTTTTTTAATACTTGGAACCTGTGTCGTTAACGTGCACGGACAGGCAACCGTCCCAGCCTCAGGAACGGTGCCAGGACCGGGCAGGGTCTGCTTTGGGGCTCTGGGAGGCAGACGGAGGAGGCGGGGCGGGTTCTTACCCATGTTGTCCACCCCTCGGGGGATGATCACGTCGGCATACTTCTTCGTCTGCAAGACAGAAAGGGGGGTCTCGTAAGGATCTGTCCCCCGGCTCCGGGGTGACTTCTAGTTGTTTGAGGCCAGATTCAATGGCAGGAGAGCAGCCCCAGGGCGTAGCAGGGACCGGTGTCGTGGCAGACAGTGGGGCCGGGATTCAGGGCTTAGCCAGGAGCCGGAGGCAGTGACCCAAGAGGCAAAACAAGAAGGAGAAGCGGAGGCAGCCGGAAGAGACGTGTCTCTCCCCTGGTGTCTCTCGCGCTTTCCCGTGGACGCCACCGTGGGAACATTTCTCTGTGCAAACAGCGCACCGAGCCAAGTGCAGCGGGGCGTCCTGCCACAACACGTGACCTTCCTCCTCAGGAACTAGGAAGCTTTCTGCAGGAGGCCCGGTGCGGTGAGCAGGCCGGTGGCAGCAGACTGGATCCCGGCTGTCGCCAGCACCTGCTCCCTCGCTAACCCCTCCCCAGCAGGTGCCCCTCTAGGTACGGGCAGGGAGACAGATACACTAGGAGGCACAGGGCCACCGAGGAGCGACCCCAACTAGATGCCGCCGAGGGGGACACACGTGAATCAGGCAAAGCAGAGGGAGAGCAAAGAGAAACAGGTCGGGGCTGAGGGACCGACCCGCGGAGTGTGCAAGGTTGCAGGCGTGTCGATACGGACCAACAGGGCACGTCACAAGAGATGAGCCACACGGGCCGGCGGTGGGGACCCACCGAGGACATGAGCACAGGGGGCCAGGCTGGTTCCACAAGGTTTGCTCACTGGTGGGGTGCAGATGAGGGGACGGCGAGGGGCAGGAGGGATGGAACCCAATGCAGAGCTGAGAAAGGTCGTGCTCCCGGGGGTGGGGGAGGGACACGGCCACCCAGGCTGGACTCGGTGTGAGGCTGTGAGTAAAACGAGTGGCAAGTTCAAGGGCGGTCCACGCAGGGTCACCGTCAGACCGGGCACCCAGAGTTTTGCCGTAAACCACCTACTTTGCCAAACATCTTTCTGTGAATAACAGGACATGACCATTTGCTTCTCTAACCATTCTCCGGGCGCTTCTGGAAACGTGAACGTGAGATAAAAAAACGTTCTTTTCAAGCAACGGGAGAGGGAACTCGTTTGTCCAACTTAACCGAAGCAGGAAGCCGGGTTCGAGTGCCTTTGTGCCGTATTTCACTTTTAAGAAGCAAAATATTAAGTTTCCCCTGAGAAGCACCTGGAAACCCTATCCAGTTAGGACGGAAGGTGGAGGACACGACAGATGGCCGTGCAACAGTGGAGGCCTCCCCGCAGGCCACCTGGACCTGGAGAGCCAGCCACGGGCAGCCTGGAGAAACCCGCGGCAGGGACAGGGAGACGAAGTGCCTACGGTGTGCCAGATCTGTGTCCGTTTGGGCCGCGAGCAAACACGTCCCTGCCTTCGTGGCGTTTCCCGTTGTGAGAGGGGCCAGCAAAGCAGGGAGTGTGAGACCAGAGGTGCCTGGAGATGGGGGAGCAGGGGGTTCCTGGGGTGAGTCAAGGCCCGCAGCAGAGAGGAGGTGAGCCGCGTGGACGTGGGGACGAGGGGCTTTTGTAGGCAGAGAAAGTGATGACGCAGAAGACGCTTCAAGAGCTGGGAATGGCCTGGGAACGAGGTGCAGTGGGCTACTCTCTCCATTCGTAAATCAGACCCTGTGCACCCACGATTCAGCTCTCCCGGAACAGGGCGCCGGGGGTCCCTCTCGAAGAGGGAGAAAAGGGGGGTCCCGAGTAGGCGAAAGGTACCGGCAGGCAGAACTCCTCGAAGGCCGGCTTCACGAAGGTGGTGTACTGGGTCAGAATCTGCTCCAGATCCCTCCCGCGGTGCACGTCCCGGAGAACTGGGGCAAGAAGAGGAGGGCGGTGAGGACCGGCGGCCGGCCTGGGCCAGGGGCAGAGAGGCCCGCGTCCGCCTCACCTCTTCGCGACAGCCTGACGTCGGAGTCCGTGTCCACGAAGAGGCGCAGGTGAAACATGTCGCGGACCTCCTGGCTGTAGAACACCAAGATGCCCTCAAACAGGACCACATCTGCAGGGTAGACCACCGTGGTCTCCGGTAACCTGTGAGGTGAGACCCAGAGATGGGCCCCTGGTGGCGATCCGGGGTCCGGCGGGCCCGGGCCCAGTCGGCGTGGAGGGGGACAGATCGCAGCGGGGGAGGGGTGGGTGTGCGGAAACACCACAGGGCGGGTCAGTCTGTGGACGCCCCGGCGGGGACGTGCTAGCTGCCCCCCCCCCCCCCCCGCAAACAGTCCCTCTCCCTGGAACGACTGCTCACCTGGAGTGGGTCACAAAATCATAGGTTGGGACCTCGACGGTTTTGCCCTCCACGATGTTTTTCAGAGTCCTGTGCATCAGATCGTTATCAAAAGCATCTGCGGGGGATAGAACAAAAGGCAAGACTATCTATCCAGGTGCCCTTGTGCCGGGGACGGAGCGACTCCCTCTGCCTCGGGGTCGGCCAGCCACGGCTTGGGTGCTGGCCCGTACCCACGACCCTCAGGAACATTTTGGACTGGGAGCCGCCCCTGCGGACTACGTTTACGGGGCCGCTGCCCAGGCTCCCGTCCCACACAGAAGTTTGCACCCAGCGATTTCCTGAGTGGCCAGCCCAGGGAGGTAGGTGGGTTAGAACTCTACTTCTATTTTTCTTTTTTTTAATGTTTATTTATTTTGAGAGACAGAGTGTGAGGGAGGGAGGGGTAGAGAGAGAGGGAGACACAGAATCCCAAGCAGGCTCGAGGCTCTGAGCTGTCAGCACAGAGCCCGACCTGGGGCTCGAACCCACAAACCGTGAGATCGTGACCTGAGCCGAAGGCGGACGCCTAAACGACTGAGCCACCCAGGCGCCCCCATCTGCTTCCACTTCTGAGAAATAACCACCGACGGACACTCCTCAGGCCTTCCTCCCACGTGTCCCCCAAGAAAGAAAGATGGGTGCCAGCCACAGGGTGAAGTCTTCTAGCAGCGGCAGCGGCAGGCAAGGGCAGGCTGGCTCTCTCCCCTCATCTATCTACCCCACTTCCACCTGTCCCCTGACCAGACCAGATCAGACCAGAGTCCGCCCTCTGGTTTACCCACTGCTTCCCCTGCTGGCCTCTCAAGGACTTTGGCCCCAGGGCAGGTGGGGAAATGCGAAACGCTGTGCACAAAGGACCCCAAACAGCTGGAAGTGTGCATGGATTTCTCCGGGACCCCAGTGGGGGTCCCCTCCACCGAGACGACTTCCCGGCTGGCTCCAACCAAGGAAGCCGGGAACGCCTGCGGGGCTGCTCGGGGGCCCAGGGGGCCAGGCAAATTCCATGGAAGCACTCGGGCCTCTCTGCATCCCCATCCGACCCTGGAGCCCAGACCCCTTGGCCTGTCCTCCCCTGCTCCCCTCAGGGTCTTGCGCTGCACCTGGGTGGTCGAAATTGTACTGGCCCTTCAATGCCTTGGCTTTCTGCTCTGCAGTCAGGACCTTGTAGAACCTATCTTGGCTCAGGATGACCAGCTTCCGCTGCCGGTGGTCCACTTCGTTCTGGCCCAGCAGCTCCATGATCTTCTCACACACAGTGGACTGGGAATACACAAACGGGATTCCCGCCTGGACCCGCTCCTCCTGCCACGGGGCGGCCCTTTCCCGGCCGTTTCTGCAGGGAGCTGGCTTCTGGGGACACCGACCCACCAGCCCCCACGGACTGCCCAGCAGGCCGGCGACAGGTGGGGCTGGGCTCGGGGTAGGGCCGCGGGGCACTGGCAGGGGCAGCACGCACTGGGGGCCCCAGAGGAACCAGGCCGTAGGGAAGGTTGTGGGGGTGGGGGCCGAGGGCAAGCGCCCCCCGCCCCACCTGCCCACCACGGCCGCAGCCCCGCGCTCACTCCGCCCCCCGCTCCGCCCACACCCTAGAGGGGGGCGCCTCGGCAGCCTCTTCTCTGGCTAGAGGCCGCAACGGGCCGCCCGGAGTCTCAGGGGGCCGGGGATCGAGCTGCACGCAGGCCCCGCCGGGCCGCTCAGCCCCTTACCTTCCCGCTCGCGGTGCCGCCGCTCACCCCGATCAGGAAGGGCCGCTGGTGAGGGCGGTCCGCCTCCGGCGCGGCGCCCTCGCAGTCGCCGCCTCCAGCGGAAGCCATCGCGGGCTCCGCTGGCCGGCATCGGGGTCCTCGCTCCCGGCGCCTCCCGGAACCAGCCCGTCTGCTCGCCCCCGCTAGAAGGTCGGAGACGCCCCCCCACCCCCCCCCACCCCGGGCTCCACTTCCGGGAGCCCGGGGACGGGAGCGCGCTGAGCACGGCGGGAGTTGTAGTCCAAGGCAGCGGAGGGCGGCCGCGCATGCGTCAGGCGGGCCGCCCACCGTTGCCGGGGAAACGGAGGCCCGCTGACCTTCGGCGGCGTCCGCCGGAGCCTCTCGCGCAGCCGGTTTGCGGCGAAGGACGAAAGCCGCCAAGTACCGCGTTTGGCTGTAGGAGATTCCAGTCGCGGAGCGGCCTCCGCATCAGAGGCGGTGGCCCGGGAAGTTCCCTCCGTCTGCGCCTCAGGTGCCTAGGGGCTTCGGGAATGATCTCCCGAGACTGCAGGCCGGGGTGGGGTCAAGGGGAGCGCCAGGGCCGGCAAGTCAGCCTCCTGAGCCGCGTGGCCAGGGTGGGAAACACCGACTTTACGGCCTCGTGAGCTGTCACCCCGAGAACGCGGTACGGATTCTGCTCCTATCCAGCGTCCTCGCCGGCGCACAGCCTCCCTCACCCCGCGCTCCACTCCGATCGCGTCGCTCCTCCCCCAACCCCCGTCTTCAGCGGCTCCCCACCAAGTCTCCTTAACCTCCCCAGCACTTGGTGACAACGATGACTTTTTAGACGCCTGCACTAGGCAGGCTGTGAGCCAAGGAAGCAGACTGGGTACCCCTGTCCCCCTAGTGCCTGGCGCAGAGAAGGCAAACGCTGATGGGCCCAAATGGTCTGTTTCCGCAAGGGATCAAGACTCTCTTTACAGGTCCGGCTCCCCATGCAGCGTGAGCCCCATCATGAGTATTTGATGACAATGAGGTATGAAGCCACAAAGACTACACCAGGCAAAGTCGCTCTTTAGGCAACTTCAAAAGTACTAGCCGGGTTGGCTGGGTGGCTCAGTCTGTTAAGCGTCCAACTTCGGCTCAGGTCATGATCTCACTGTTGGTGAGTTCAAGCCCCACTTCGGGCTCTGTGCTGACGGCTCGGAGCCTGGAGCCTGCTTGGGATTCTGTGTCTCCCTCTCTCTCTGCCCCTCCCCCATTCATGCTCTGTCTCTGTCTCAAAAATAAATAAACGTTAAAATTTTTTTTTTTTTTTTATTAAGTACCAACCCATCTCAGGAGAGGCTGCAGGCAGCTTCTGCTGGTCAGAGGGCAGGGGTGCAAAGGGGACTTGGGCCTCCTGAGCTCTGGGACTTGGACAGACTGAAGCCAATGCAGGGACAGGAGAAAGCCACCTCCTCACTGAGAGGAAGGACCTTACACAGGAGGTCAAAGTCAGGAGGACCACTCACCTGCTAACAGTGAGCATGTGGGGTCTGGAGCCGCGCTCTGGGCTGAGAGAGGGGACAGCCTTTGGGCTCTGCTGAGTGACCTCTGGCGGTTCTGTGATCACTTTGCATTTCCTCTGTTCCGAAACGGGGAAATGTTATGACTTGTTAAAATTAACATTTGGTAAGTGGAGTGGGGGGGCGGGGGGGGGGGGGGGGGGCCAACTGCTGAATGGTGAGCAGAGTTTCAACAGACCACAGAGAAATTGAAGCAGAGACATTGACTACACACAGGTCCTGGAGGAAATACACATCACGGTCTCGAGGGGCCACCCAAGGAGGTCAAGGCAGAGTGCAGACAGGCAGGACCTGGTCACCTGCCTCTGTTAGGGTCCGTGGGTGGCGTGCTTTGGGGTCCTGGGCTAGGGCCGGATCGGTCTACTCAGACCAGAAGAGCGGGGAGAAGCCGCGTGGGCGCTGGTCACGAGGGCGGCCGCGACGTCCTGGGAGCTGCCACTTGTCATCACTCTGGCTGCTCCTGTCCTCCCCAGGGCCTGCGCTCCCCTGAGGATCCGTGCAGGGGAAGGTCTCTGCAGGCTGCTGGGCAGGACAGAGTGGCCACGAGGCCGCAGTCCCGCGAGGGGGGGGGGTGGAAACACATCAGTGAGGCTGTGATGCCAGAAAGCTCACAAAGGGCTGGGGTCTGACCCAGAGGAGGGGCCTGTTGTGGGTTTTCTTCAATTCTGCATTTGTCTCTTCGGCAATCCGTTCTTCACGGGGCCAATTATATTAACTGTATTTTCTTATTTTTTGTACCCTTGATGCTCTGGCCTTTGGGGCCCTATAGGCCCCGGGAGAGACTGCCCTTCCGAGGCTAACCAGTTCTTGGAACAGCAGAGAGAGCACGTCTCTTACCTGCAAACCGGCCGGTCCCCAACCACTTCTCGTCTGACTCTCACTCAGGCTCCCAGCAAGCCCCGGGCCTGGACCTTTCGTCCCCACTGTCCAATCCTACCCTTTGCAGGGCTGACTCTTCCCAGCACCCCTTCCCCAAGGTTACACTCCGGCCCCGCCCCAAGCTGGACCAGGCGAGCCTCATCCGGGTCATTAGTGGCCTGGGCACTTTTCCTGGGGAGCACCTGCTAACCGCTGCAGTGTAAGCGGATTCTGCAGTCGCTTGCATGAGGCTCGTCTGGAGAGCAGAAGCCCCGTGAGGGCAGGGCCCTGGCCGAGCCTCTGCTGGGCATGGTAAACTGTTGTTGCTGAGCGGGGCTCGGGGCTGAGAAGGCTTTGGGTTTCTCAGCAGCGAGGCGGGCCTGGTAAAAATAAGCGGTGACAATCCTCTGGGGTTCTCAGCTCCTGTCCTCACCACCCCCCCCCCTGCCCCCTGCTCTCCAAGGCCGCCCTCCTTCCCCACCCCCTCGGCCCACCCAGTCGCCTGCAAAAATGTCAGTTCATGCCAAGCACGTCTTTAAGCTTTTATTGAACACAGGTGGGCACTCGGCACTTAAAGCTGACCAAGCATCAATGCTTTAAGTAGCGTTTATTGTCATTTTCCTAATCACAGAAGGAACCCATGCTTGTTGCAGAAAACACACACACACACACACATAAAACTAGAATCACCCATCACCCCTCACGCAGGGAAAGCAGCGGTTTTGTATCCCCATGTCGGCTCTCTGGCCTCATGCGGCTATGGCTACACAGTAGGATGATAAACAAGATTTGGCTCCGAATCTTATTTTTTTTTTTTTTCAACGGTTATTTATTTTTGGGACGGAGAGAGACAGAGCATGAACGGGGGAGGGGCAGAGAGAGAGGGAGACACAGAATCGGAAACAGGCTCCAGGCCCCGAGCCATCAGCCCAGAGCCCGACGCGGGGCTCGAACTCCCGGACCGCAAGATTGTGACCTGGCTGAAGTCGGACGCTTAACCGACTGCGCCACCCAGGCGCCTCTTGGCTCTGAATCTTAAATAACAACAGTAAAGCCTCACATCAGCCGTAGGATGTGGGTACCACTATGCTCCCATTTTCCTAACGGGGAAGTTGAGAAGCAGAGAGCTCATCACACGGCTTGCCCACGGCTTCCAGTCCAGAGAGCTGAGCTGGTAGGCGTAGCAAGTCAACCTGACCCCTATGCACACTCGCGCACCTTCCAAACGCCGAGAAGCGCATACCCTCTCTCTTCCAAGACAAGAAAGGGAAATGTGATAGACCAGGCCCCTGAATGAAGAAGGTCCTCGTAGCCAGCGGTTGAAACCGAGTTGCCCACGAAGGGGTCAGGACCAGATGGTGCCTCGGAGGTGGGAGTCAAAGCCACAGCCCCCCAAACAGCCGATGGGTTCTGGAAATGGCCCTGTGCCTACTGCTGGGGCCTGAAGGCACCGCCCCTTAGTGAACCTAAGTAAACCACTATACCGATGGCTCTGGGTAGAAAGAGTCCTCCCTAAGAAGGTGGAACCCTTGGCGAGCTCTATGCCCGATGCGAGGCTTGAACTCACAAACCGAAAAATCGTGACCTGAGTTGAAATCAAGAGTCCGACGCTCAACTGACTGAGTCACCCAGGTGCCCCTAATTTTTTATTTTTTAAAGTAATCTCTGCATCCAGTGTGGGGCTCGAACCCGCAACCCCGAGGTCCAGCTCCGCACTCTCCATTGCCTGAGCCAGCCCTGAGGTTTTCTCTGGGTGTGATGGGGTTTATGTGTTCTTGGGAGGGAAACCACAGATGAGGGGCCATCACACCGGGACCTATGACATCCTCAGGTGTCACTAGTGATGTTAAACTTGATCACCTGGCTAAGGGGGTGTCTAGCAGGGTTTCCACTGAAAACTTACTCTTCCTCCCCTCGTACTTCGAAAGTATTCTGAAGGAGGTACTTTGAGACCATCCAAATACTCTGTTTCTGCTGAAACAACTTTCACCTTAACTAGGCCTAGCGCGTTTGTGGGTCTTTCCCGTGGCAATTATTACTGCGCCGTTCTTTGTTTTCTAAATCTTTGTAATGTTTCTTTATTTTTGAGAGGGAGAGAGACAGAGCGTGAGCGAGGGAGGGGCAGAGAGAGAGAGAGAGGGAGACAGAATCCAAAGTGGGCTCCAGGCTCTGAGCCGTCAGCCCAGAGCCCGACGCGGGGCTCGAACTCACAAACTGCGAGATGATGCCCTGAGCCGAAGTGGGACGCTCAACCGACTGAGCCACTCAGGCGCCCCTATTACTGCGATATTCTAATGGTGATTTTCTATTTCCCACATTCCTTCTGCTATTAGGTTCTGCCGTGAAAAGAGAATTGCCTCTTCTCTCCCATTTACGTATTCATTCAGTCATTTATACCAGCATGGGCTTATGGGTATTTTATTCTCGGGTCATATGACAATGGGGTCGTTATTTTGTTACTCAGGCTATTCCACTTTTGGCCACAGACACCAGTTTTATGTTTGTTCCTGTGCCCCTCCCCCTTTTTAAAGCACATCGTTACCTTCTTGTGTTACAACACACTCCGGGCTCACCTTACGGTTTTCCCTGCCCCTGACCTGGGATCCACCCCTTCTTTCCAAAGGGTCCTCGGTTCTTTTATGGGAGGATAGTATTTGGAAACCGAGATCTGGGTGCCGAGTATAGTAAGGACAACTTTGTGAACACACTACTCTTTAAATGCAGTGTCAGGTCTGCTTTCTCCATACACAGACCCACATCTTCCCTCCCCCCTGCCCATCCTTTGTGCTGTTACTTTCGCGGTCGTACAG